GACAGACAGACAGACAGACAGACAGACAGACAGACAGACAGACAGACAGACAGACTGACAGACAGACAGACAGACAGACAGACAGAGAGAGAAAGATTGAGCCTGCATGGGAGATTGGATACTGTAAACATGCACCATGTATGTGTGAATGAAGTAAGACACACCACACTCCCTTATAGGCTTACATACATCTTTATTGATTTCAAACGTGTTGACGATGTCTCTCCTATGGAGCATATCAAGGAAGTCAAGACCTGAAGGGTAGATCTACATGGGCAACCTACCTCCTCTATACCGCCAAGACAATGCTGTGTCGCGAATACTGCTTTGATCGTCTGTCAGAAAAGGCCATATTCTGTGTACGTGTGTGTGTGTGCGCGCGTCTGTGTCCGTGTTTGCGTGTGTGTGTGTGTGTGTGTGTGTGTGTGTTTGTGCGTACATGTGCGCGCGTGTGCGCATGCGTTGACTTTATCTGGAAATAGTGTTTACAGGTTGCATTTCATGGCACCTGCATTTTATTGTAGTTAGGGAAACAACTATATATACATGATACATAATCAGCTAGCCAAAAGAGTACGTGACACCCCTCGTTCAATTTGAGCATGATATGGTCGCTTTTGATTTTAAATACAATGGGGCTATCCCGAAAAATGCTGTTTTGAAAAAAAAAACGTAGGTAAAGTTTTTGGACCCCTGTTCAGTTTCTTTAAAAGACAAGGAAAGTTTTCTCTATAACCAAGCAAAAAAGCACACCAATGAAATCAAACTTCTCCTATAGGTAGAGCAATATCCAGTTTTGGTGATGGTCAATATTTCTGGAAACCCTCGATATCTGTGTTAGCCCGCTTGTCCTTAAAAGCGACCATATACTATCTACCTCGTTTATTTAAGTTTAAGTTTGCTTGAGAGATTTTTTTTGTCTTTGAAAATAATAACTGTCTGCAATGCTCTCGGACAAAGAAAGCTACTGTGGCAATTTTCAACTTGGACAAGAGCGGCGAAAGCTAAGAGACTCTATAGGCCTTCATGTACAGGGTTGATAACGATAAAGGAAGCAAAACTCCAGTAAACAGGCTACTTAACTATCGATGGCTGAGCTTTATACTCAGTAAAAACTCAACGAATAAGATGATTTTTGTTGTAGCAACATTTAAACTTATATTTTACGCACGTTTTGGCTCTCCGAAGTACTGCCAACTTAGGTAGGTATGGGTTTAAAGTCGAACTCTATAATACTGCTAAAATGCAGGTTCTCCGATTTAACGTTTATCTCCGAATGTGGGGCTAAGTTAGTTGGAGAAATAGGAAAAAAAAAGACACCCCAAATTTAACAACTATTATATAGTGTACACCACAAATATTAAGGATTCGATTAAAGGTCGTCTATTGAGCGGCACTCACATTTTGATTTCGCCAATGAAAGTGGAGAGGTGAGGAAAGAAACAACGAAGATCACTCAATGTGCAACACAAAGTCGTTATGCATGTAATAAACAAAGAACGAATGTTTTGATATATGTCTTTGAAGTTTAAACAAAAAAAAGGTCGTTCCTTGTGAGTTAGCGAGCTCTGGGAGGGGCTGTACTCATCAGGCATGCATGCACACCGCCTTGACACACACACACACATGTACACACATTCACACACATTAAAAAAACCCCATACACCACAGGATGAAGTTTAACCTTTTTATTTACACCTCGAATCAACAATTGACGCTGTCAACCAATATCACAGAGTATTCATTAAGATGATATAGTGCTATCATCTTATAAATTATTTGCATAAAATCCCTCAGAATCACCAAACTGTACAACATAGTAATACGTGTATAACCTCGTTAAAAAAAGAGTACAATAACAGAGAACATCAAGGGTACTGTACTAAAAAATGTGAAATACATGCATCTGATGTAAAGATTAAAGAGTAGCCAGTACATCATGACTTACATATTTAAATAAAGTGGACCTAGGGTGAGAAAGAACACTTTGCATCGGCAAATCAATAATGAACGGCTGAATGACATAAAACTCAACATATTCTCTTTAGTTCAGACAATTTTCCGTACAGGAACAGAGGAAGGCCAAGAACAATGTGGCAGAGAAAGGGAGAAGAAAATGCCCCCCCCCCCCCTCTCCAAACGTAAAACTTGGACATCAGGGGAAAAATATGCATGTGATAGAAATTTTCCTGAGGAATTGCTCATGGCCTGTACTCTTTAACCAATTTAAAGGCAAGAGAGGATACCCATAATTTTCTATTTATTTTTTGTGAAAATTTGTTTTTCTTCATTGCATTTAAGCATAGACAAAGCTTTAAATATCATGCAATTTGCAAGACATTGGGAATTTCAACATCCAAATGGCTTCAAACAAGGCAAGAGCATTATTTAGACTATAATAGAATTCTGATTCATCGGCTTTAGTTGCAATAGTGGTTCTAAACTTCACTCTTCTTCAGTTACAATAGTGGTTCTAAACTTTATTCTTCGTAAAGTTTCTGATGAAGTTTCTCTAAATTCCAATCTTTTTAGGTTACGACAAAGGGGGAAAAAAAGGAAAATGATGACAGCTCGTTAAGCAGGATAATATCAAATAGAGGGGAAAGTGATAACAAAACGATTTTTAGTGTACGTAAAATCACCAAAAGTCGGTACAGTGGAACTCGGATTCAACGAGGTCGCCGGGCCTGACATAAAATCTCGTTGAATCCGAGTGTTCGTTATAGCAAACATGAGGCTTTGTGTTGATAATTACAAAAAGAAAAGTAATAAGTAGACGTTAGCGCCTGAAATGCCTGCATATTAAGAGCATTCAAATGCACGCCTGTGTCATCTCGATTGTTTGCCAAAAAGTTGGGTTGCTGTGTAGAGCCTGCCTAGCATACGGTAACTTTTGATTCCATAGACCAGCGCACAATTCATTACCTAGATCTACGTCAAGACTAGCTTATCATTGTAATAATGATAAGTAGCCATGGGGAAAAAGGACCGTGACGCATTTGTATCTGCAATGGTGCCCCCCCCCAGCACGCACACACAGTCACACGTGTGCAGGCCGCCTATCCGACCCCGACACACACCAGAGTAGACACATGTGCGTGCCAACAACGCATGTGTTGATATGAAAAAGGGCCACTGATTGGTCGCATGCAATCGGCTAAGTGAATAATAGTTCATGATTCAAGTGCAATGGATGGTTTCAAGGAATAGAAAAAGTTCGTTCTGGGAGAAAAATGAGCGAAGCCACGTTTGTGGGGGCTGTTCACCTTGGAAGCGACCTCGTTGAATCTGAGCTCCCTGATTTAAGTGCTAGTTGAATTCAGGTTATTTTTATTTATTTTAAAGAAGAAAAAAAAAATGGGCCAGAGTTCTCGTTGAATCCGAGCTCGTTGAATATGAGTTCCACTGTATTAGGGTCTTCTAAAGTAAAGTAAATAAAAAATAAAATAAAATAATGGGTACAACCATCTTATAAAAACTATAAACCCAGAATAAACTGAGACACAACATAAGACATAAAAACATCTAAACTTGAAAAAATTATAACATAATCCCCTCATATCCTTTGCAAACCAATAGTATGTTTCATGCAAAATTGCATAAAAATGTAATAATACATGTAATTTGAGTAGTAAGCTTACATAAACCAGAAACAATAGAATATTCTTATTTACCCTCATCAAAGTTCACCAACAGTACATCTACCGCATAGAGACATATACATGAAAGATGAGTTAAATAACAATAAATTTTCATTTAAAAAAAAACATTTTTTTAAATGAGAACACTGTCTTGGTTGCAGTTACAGAAATTTTGTCACATTACATCTTCCTTACAATACTGAACATTGTTCATTCAGTGTTGTATACCTTCCATGAGAAACAGAGTAGTTGTGTGTCGGCTTCCATTTCTTTTAAAAATTCTTTCGTTGAAGTCTGCAACCATAATAGAGTTACAAAACCAATTGTTTTCCGAGTAAAGTACTAGGTCAATCTATAAGAAATTATCCAGCAAGAAAACTGACCAGCAGCTTACTCTCATTTGCATCACCGAATTCCATAGATCTATATCAGTCATGATTGTAATCTACAACACTTCAGTGAATAAATGGTGGAAGCGAAGCATGCCTCATTGTGAGTTTGATTATAAAACATGCTCTCAAACTTAATGATTTTTTTTATGGAGCTGTGCACTTGAGGGTCTTTTTACCACAGCTTAATTCTTTGGACAACATTGAACACGATGAAAAAAACTGAATCTTTGAGCCTTATGGACAGAATAGAAAAAATCCTGTTAACTCTGATCAGAGCATAAAGAAGGAACGCAGCATTGATTTCCAAGGACCAATGATGATCAATCATCAAAATGAATGTAGAAAAAATGAAAATATGTCTTAAACAGGGCAGGAATGTCAACTTTTTCATAAACAAGTCATGATGAGTTATTAAGTAATCAATCTTTCTACTTTAACTTTAATAAAAAAGTAGGCTAAGAAAAGGCAGTAGCAAAAGCAACACAATCATCATTGACAATGCAGGACAAGTAGTACATGTATCAAAAGAAAAGGAAAAAGCAGTAACACATGTGAGGAATCATGGTGAAATCAGTCGCTCATCAAAACAATTTTCCCTTTCCAAGGACTCTCAAGCTACGGAAGTCACAAAACTTTGGCAGTCATTTTCTCGTTGATTTTACCTCAGAAATTAGGGGATCTCCACCCTTTTTAATTGCAACTATCTCAACATCTATTCAAGATAGATGGGTACTTTTGTCATTGAAAGCAAGGCAAATTAGCAAGCTTTATGATGACATCAATAACTCCACATGCCCAAAAATGATGAACGCCTGATTACACCGTGTCAGGACACAAATGCAAAAAGAATATACACGAACAGTCAAGGGCTAAAGAGAATATCATGCTTATTCTTATACATGAATGCAATGTTGATCACGGTGAATACATTGACAATATGGATGTATCTGTCCCTTGCTGTCACATGCAACCCTTCAAACCAGTCAGACCAAAACTAAGTCCAAAAGTGAACAAGCATGCCCACACAGACACAACTTCCGAAAAAGAGAAATTAAAACAGATTCAGTACCACACCTGATGATACTGATGATGGTACAAACAAAAATGATTATATTATGATGGTGATGAGGATAAAAATGACAATGATGACAATGTAAAGACTATAATGAATGAATGTGATTGTAATAGTGATAATGATGAGAAAGATGGTCAAAGCTTAGGTAAGATGACTGTCTAACTGAAAACAATGATGAAACTTTGGTAATAAAAATAATGCTTATTTTGAAATTTTCAAAGCTGTACAGTTTCAAACATTTTTTGAATATTGTGGAATGTTAGTGGTTAAAAGCACATTCCTTACCAACGTCAGCTGGGAATAGAATATGTTAGAATTTTCCATTACGTTAACCCTATCCGTACACCCTGGGGTCATTTTGTACTGCCGGGGTTGTATTCTTCACATTTTAGAATACTTCTAGTGGGAGGATCTCTTTGAAACTCTCAGTATTTCTCAAAAAATCATTTTGACGGACTGCTATGCTAAGCGTATGGATCAGATTAACGAATAGATTTCCTCCTTGGAAAGAGGAGGCATAGAGTTCCCCATGTCGTATGGATACGATAGTAAAACACGACATACGGATAGGGTTAAGCAGACAAGTCTATAAACACGCTTTAGATTAAATCTTAAAAAACCAATGCTTTGCACTCTTTGTTCTATTGGATTAATGTGGTTACACACACATACACACACACACACTACACACAAACACATACACTTTTCCTCTGCAAAAATTTGACTACATTAGAAACATACACAAGTTTACAAATAAATTCTCAAGACAAATATAAGTCTTCTCTAAGAAGGCAAGCCGTTCTACACATAGGTCTATATTAGAGTAAGTCTTTAAGAAAAAAAGAACAAAAAATCACCAATAATGTTTGAATTCTTTGTTCTTATTGAGTTAAATGACTTGAGACTGAAAACACACACACACACACTTTCCCTTTGCAAACTTTTGATCAAACTATATAAGTATAAATAAGTCTACAAATAAATTCCAAAGACAGACTAAATAAGCCTTGACTTGAAACTTGAAAATACTGTCATTCTTTTGTCCTTTCGTTAACCTAGCATCTGCGTTTGTCGCGGCCGCGAATACAAGTTTAACATCGAGAAACTTTAAAGTTAAAGCCGTAGCATTAAACCCAGCTGTGATCAAAGAAAATATCTCACAAGTACATCAGAGGATAAATATCAATGTAACAGAGCGCTGTTTGACCGTAAGAGGGCTTACTTTTTGGGGATGTTCTGAATTAGGTTTGAAAATTAGTGAAATGGTTTAGGTTGGGGTTTTTTTGTAAGTGTTTAACGGCACTAGCAACACAATAAAGTCGTATAAGTGCTGAAGATTAAAGGTGTTACAAGAGAGTAACAAACACAAAAAGGAGGGCAGATAAAGACGATAGATGTTTGATAGGAAAGAAGAAGCAAACAACACCACAGCACCCTCCAACCACCCACAATGGTTTAGGTTTAACACCCCTATCAACACTATTAGGTTATATTATAAGAAGCGAGAGAATTAAGTTTGTGAGTGGAGTTATTTCTAACAAGAAAAGAAAAAATAAGGCTCTTGACTCAAAACACAAAGACAAAAGCCTGTCTTAAAACAAGTAAATGGTGGAAAAAGATAGGATTACAGATAAATAAAAGACCTACATTTATAGTTCAAATGAATGCTGTGAATAAACAATAGAGAAGAAGGAGCAAAAAAAAAATCCTCAGGTCCCACGACATACATCCCTATCAACAACACATCTCTGATAATATAAGTGATATTGGAAATATCTTGCACTCTCCATGGCTTTAGAATGAAATGTTATTGAACAGCAGGGTCATCTTGTATTGACAGCAGACGCCTAATGACCCTGTCCAGGCCAACATAGCTGAGAGTGTTGAGGTCTCTCTGGGAGACCTTTGGCTGGAACACGTAGAAGATGACGCCAAGCACGGAGCAGAAGAACAGAAGGAACTCGATGCGGGTGTATTGTTCGTGGATGTTGACTGGGGAAGTATAGATAAAATAAAATGATTACAGGGTGTATAATAATAGATCTATTCACTGTCAGTGTCAACTATAAGTTTAGAGCACTGAAAGGAATACTGAATGGAATTTTGCCATCATTCAAACAATTTTACATTTCACACGAAATATTGAGGATGTTCTTCAGGTTTTTGGCTACAAATAAACAGCTACATACTTCTTTAAAACGTGTTTATTGAACATATGAGTAAGGCACACATAATCAAGCTACAGACTTTTCCTTAGTTTTTTTTCAGGGTTCCTGGAAGATCAGAGGCATGGATGATGGACAAGGTTCAAGCTTTAGATAGTCAGGCCACATCTATTGCATTCTTCTGTTAGTGCTGCACGCACAGCGAAGACATACGACCTTGTAAGATTTCACGGCTCAAATACTTTTGCTAAGATCAGAAACTGCATGGGTATTGTTTGATACATGGAACTATTCTTTTTTCATTATATGAAACTGGAATTTGCATATATTATGACACAACATTCCACTCCATATCCCATCATTTCTTTTTCCTCCATAGCTGAGGGGAATGATGTGCTCTTTGTACTAAAAAACCTCGAAAATACAACTGGAAGAAAAAACAAGAAAGGGATGGAGAGGATAGGGGGAAGTGGAGGAGGAAAGGAAGAGAGGGAGAGAGATTGGAGGGGGAGGGAGGGAGGGAAATAGGGAGAGACAGAGAAAGCAACAAGCAGAGAGAGATACAGAGAGAAAGATACAGAGAGAGATACAGGGACAGAGACAGAGATACACAGAGTGAGAGAGAGAGAAAGAGACAGAGAGAGAGAGAGAGAGATCGAGCACAAAGGTATCCTCACCAGGCTTAGCGGAGAAGGTGAAGGAGGAACTCCCAGAGCTGGCTCCTCCATTGTCTACATGATCCTTGAAGAAGAGGTAATGCCCCAGCAGAACCAGTATCACTGCCGTGGCGAAAAGCACAAGATCAGGCCTGTGTTTTGCTGACGTCAGCATCAAGGCTTCTAACAGAACAACCCAGATCTGAAAGAGCGAGACGAAAACAACACCAAAACTCTTCAACAGCTGCGTGCTGACATAGAACACGCCCACTGACAGCCCACACGTGAGCACTGCACACATCACTGGTGGTACCCATAGCGACGATCCCAGGAAGTGGACGGCGGTTACGATCACCACGCATGAGCTAGCAACGCCGGCAATTACAACAGAGCCACGCGGTTTGACGCTGACATTTTCTGCTGCTACAAGCTGCCTCACCACAATGTTTCTCAGCACGAATGAAAACGCACAGAGAGCCGAAATCAAAGATGTTCTGTCCGATGTCATCACACTTCTCATCCGTAGGGACATAAACGTGCAGCCAATAGATATGATAGCAATACTCGACCATGTATTAAATCTTGGCATGACAGAAGTGACGATCCACAATGCTAATAGAGTCAGAACTGGCATAGCGAAGGCTGCTGTCAATGAGGTCTCCGGGTTGCCGAAACTTGTAAGGAAATCATGGAGAAAAGTAGCGCCTGCATGACTGACGGTTATAACTGCTAAAGCTTCTTTGTTGGGAAGGTCCCCGCGTGAGGTCAAAGGTTGTATAGTGACGGCCAGAACTGCCAGCTGGGCTGCAGCGGTGGAGGTGATGAAGAGGAGGAGGGCGGCGTCGTTGGTGTCATTGAAGACCTCGCGAACAAGGGCCGCCTGTTCTCGGGAGCTGGCATTGAGAGCCAGGGACAAGACGACGAAGGCAGCCACCAGGGCACTGCATCGCCATGATCGCTTGTCGTGGTCTCTGGAGTGGAAAAAAAGGAGCAAAATTTGGAATTGTTCATTTGTTTGTTTTAGAAAAGGACATCAACAAAATAATGGTCATTTAGTTCTGGCAAAAAGGAAGAGTAAAAACAGACAGAAACAACAGAGAGGGAAAGTATTAAAGTAGGGCCTACTGGTGGTGCCATCCAACCACCCACGATATAAATTGTGTCGAAAAGGGTGTAAAATACCAGCATTAAACACTGTAAAATACTTCATATATATGTACTCATAAACATCAATACGGATGCTGGTATTCTGAAACTGATAAAATTAGTAGGCCTACGAATAAGATATATCACATGTTTCTTTGTCAGTCTCTTTGGTATGAACGCCCCAACACTCTGGAGCCACATGTTTGATTCATGAGTGGGAAGAGTTTTAAAAAAATGGTATTGATATCTCTGTCTGCTGGGGTGTTGTAACCCTCTTAGCCCGAGTTAGCCTGACTGGTATGGTCAAACCTGGCCTCCTACATGATCTAAATTGTGTCGACAGGGGTCTAAAACACAGCGACATTAATTTTTAGAAAAAATAATAAACAGAGAGTAGATCACCTACGTGTCAAGTAGCTCGCCGTGTCCTGGAACGGTTATGCGCACGGGAACATCTGACTGCGCTAGCAATGGGGTTTGCTGCTTAGCATCCATGATCAACCCGAGTGAGCCTATCGTTATATACGTACCGCAGTATAAAAGTATATGTACAAGCACGCGTAAGTGCATGGTTTAAATAGGCTACATAATCATACCATACCCGCGATGTGCGAAGTTGGCAACAGGGCACGAGGTGAGGAGAGACCGAGTGCATGACTGCATTTAGTTAGGTAATCCTTTTAGGCCTCGTTCGTGCTCACTCAAGCCATGCCCCTCAAGACCTGCTGCTCACTCACTCATACATCATGAACCTGCACCTTGGTGGCAACCCCCCCCCCCCTTTCCACACACACACACACAGACAGAATCTGTTCACCCTGTGAACTACCACAAACCACAAAGGCAAATCATTTCTTTTCTTCTGGAAAACCCAAGATTAACTAAATGTTCTAGAATCCCTAGTGAATTATTTATGCACACCTTGCAGTTCATGATACTGGAATAGGCGCGACATTTACAACATGTCAGCAGTCCTCTTATCTTGACAATATTATTGTTTTTCTCTTTTCACTCTACGACTGTTCCCAAGCGCTCGCTCACGACCCGCCACCAACGACAAGTGCTTGGCATACATAAATTAAGGAGAGAAACTAGTACAATCACCAAAATGTCAGCGTGGAGGGGCGGACCAAACTGCTGAACACATCCTTCAGCACTGCAAGACACACAGGGCCCTGAGACAAGAAACGTGGCCAACCCCACTGACGCTACAAAAGAAGCTATACGGGCCGACAGATGAACTGAGCAGGACGCCCAATTTATGACAGATACCAGACTTCAAGTGTGATGCGATCGAGAAGAAGAAGAAGACTTAAGGAGAAACACTAGGTCAGTAAATTTTAAAAGAAAAAACCCCACAACAACAACCAACAACAAAAGAAAACAACAACAAACAAACCTACAAACCAAGAACCCCCCCCCCCCCCC